GGCATAAAGACATGTTAATAGCATAGCTTTGTCTCTGAAAAGAAGAGATTCAATTTTGTATAATAACCAGTGTATACTGGTTTCAAATGAGGGTCACTGGGCAGAACATATTCGTCCACTGTCTATTATTAAACTTATGATACATATTTTTTACTCAGCATTTAAAAGCATACAACTGCCTACATTATGTAGCAAAGTTCTAATCAGTGCTTACATTGGGTGAATAAGCTACCCCTTGCATGTGTCTCAGTAAAATTTTATACATGTATTGGAGCTACATGGCTGGCAGAAAAACAGACAGTTACTTCAAAACCACAAATAAGTGGGAGCCCAAAGAATTCCTTCCTGCAATTCAATAAACAAGAGGAAAGATGTACTGTTTGCTGGCTCAAAATAGACACTAATTTTACATCTGTCTCTGAGGCACAGCAAAAAGCCAACTAAAGAGCAGTAATAAATGTCCAAAAACAGCATCAGTATCCAAAACTCTCCCAGTAATCTTCAGAGGAATTAATTATAATTCTGTGTAACAGTTGCATTGGCAAAATGTACCCATAATTATATACAGGTACTGTACTGTATTACAGAGAAATTTGCCATGTGATACATGTTTACATGATAATTGATGGATAAGATAAAACTATTTGCATATGAAGTGCATATGAATTATTGGCATGACTCACCATTTTATGTGGAATCATATTAAAGTTTCATTTTCTCTAAAACTGTATGTGTAATATGGGGTTACCAAAGGGTATTAAGCTGATACTTAAATTTGCTTTATAGCCAATGGGCCTGGAAAGATATATCTGAATATGCATTACCCAAAACCTATTTTTAAAAGGCTTCATAGTTTATCTATATAATAAGCATTATTTTCAGTTCACCAGATTGCATTATATTAAATCCTTCTTATTCTTCCTCCTATGTAAACAATATTCTAAATTGTATCACTATATGAATTAATTTTACAATCATAAGCAAAACAAATAATGGTTTCTTTTTATTGTCTATTGATATAACTTTTTTTCTTCGGATTTCTGAATTCTGGCGACATGCAACAGAATAGTAGCAAAATGTGACATTTTTATAATGTCTATACCTGCTGGAAAATTTCAGCATTTGCAAAAATGGTCTATCATAGCATTTAAACATTGCTGATAATTAGCTTGACATTTGAAATACCAGAACTGTTGTTTTGAAGATGCCCTATACAATGTTACCTAACTAACCCCTTTTCATACTTACTTGCTTTCTCTACATTATTCTGTCAGTTATAGTACAAATAAGATATCAGTTGCTAATGCATTAACATCCAAAGAACTGATGTTAAGGAGCGATACTTCATCTGTACCAGAAGCAGAAGTTTTACTGATGTAAAGAAAAATTGTATATGTGGATTAGAGACAGTTAATTGTTAATAAGGTGCTCAATAACAATTTCCTGTAGCTCCACTCAAGTTAAGTGTGCCAGTTCTTAAGTCTTTCCATGCTATTATCAAACATTTATTAATTACCTACAATGTGGTAAGTCCACAGGATACACAGATGTGCTATTCTCACCTCAGGAAACTTACCATCTATTTGGAGAAATGGAATCACAAAATTGTGGTCCTAGAAGGCACCTGAAGCCAACCTCTGACATGTGATCAGGGAGGGGAATACAAGCACAAGGTCAAGTGACTTGCCTACGGCCCTGCAGTCACTGGGGGCAAAACCAGAGCGAGAAGGCACACCCTTCCTTCAGCATGCAACAGCCACACAAAAATATATGTAATCAGGCAAATTCCCAGTGGAGAATGAAATCTAAATTTAAAGTCCTCATGGTCAAAGTAAGGGAACAGAAATACCTGGGACTTTTGCGGGTTCTTGTGCCCCCAAATGGAGATTATTGCTTAATAGTAAATTATTTTGATGATTGTTATTTTCAAGGATCCCCTTAATTTGAGTTATAGAAGCCTATCTACTTCATCAATTACCAAAATCTAGCAACACACCCATGTTTCCCCCAAGAGTTTGAGAAAAATAGAAATAAAGAGGCAGTTCCTAGAATTTATGAGCTTGAAGACCTGTCTTCTTGCCTCAGTCCCAACATATAACCAGGGTGTGGGCTTGGCCCTAGCGTCCAAGTAAACTTGATACAAATAGGTAAAAATGCTAAGGGATTCCATGTCTCTGAGACAGCCGCAGGGAACTCCAAGGCGGTAGGCGTGATGGCACTTTGGGAAGTATAAAACTCCTGTAACCACTGTAAAGTAATCAAAGTGCGGCCGCCGCACTAGCGTCTTCCTTGGCCTACTAGTGTGCGGTAGACCTGTCCCCGGGTTCGATTTCCAGGTACAGTCTGCTAAGGTCAGAATGTGACTTCTTTTTCTGGGACAGCTTTATCATTGACATCCCTTCCTCATCATAGTTAACGTGTTACCTTTGCCCCTGGGTGGATAACGATCATAGGACTACAATTTCATGATGGGGGAGGGCGGGCCATGGGAGGTACAAGGCCAAGATAAATTCAAATGGAAATTTTCTTTTCTTTCTTTTTTTCAATCCTCACCAGAGGATGTGTTTTTCATTGATTCTAGAGAGAGAGGAGGAAAGAGGAAGAGAGAGAGAGAGAGAGAAAGAGAGAGAGAGGCAGGGAGAGGGAGACATCAATGTGAGAGAGAAATATCGGTTGGCTGCCTTCAATATGTGCCCTGACCAGGATCGAACCAACAACCTGGGAATGTGTCCTGACGAGGAATCGAACCCAGTGTTCGGGACAATGCTCTAACCAGCTGAACCACACCTGCCAGGGTGAGATTTTCTTTTGAATTTAAATATGTGCCACTGAAACATGAACCTTAATTTCCTGACTTAAAAGCAGGCATCACTTTTGAAGCAGATGACTGTTTAACCACTAGGCCGTACACCCGAAACTAATACAAAATAATATTGAATGGAAACTGTAATTTAAAATATTTTTAAATGGAGTAACTTTCTCTACCACTTGGGGATGCCAGATTAATTAATGCCCAAAGAAGGGACCATGCCAGTTTGAAACATTCTCATGGAATGTGCTCTCTAGTACAAAACACTGTTATAAAAGAACTACTATGAACATACTATAGTCGGCCTTTATACAAATTAGCTTGGTCACTTTAATTTTTTATCCCAGGAACATTCAAAGGCATTAAACCGGCATTATAAATTAATGAGTTGTAAAATGTCAGCTGATAAAACAAAAGCAGTTTTGAGTATAGGGATAAAAATGTTTCCATTTCAGATTAGCTATGTAAAAAATATGCATATTAAGTAAAATGAGAGAGGAATTTCTGCAATGCCATGGTTCTGAGGAGGAGGGGCCGGTCCCCGTGGCGGGCGCGTCGTGGGCCGATGGCAGCCATTCGTCCCCAGCAGAAATCCTAGCAGTCCCCTGCCCCTGGGGGAGCGCTCCGCTTCAGCATGGTCGTGATAAAGTTTAAATTTCCATAAATTTGCTGGGGCTCTGGATAAGTTCCCATATCCAGGTAACACCATCTTAGTTACATAATCCCCCCCCCCAAGTTTCACTTTTAATATAGGAAATATAAAAATAAATGGAAAATAAGAATAAGAGTGAGGATCCTCCCTTCCCCAAACTACCGTAAAAACAGGCATTGGTCAGGGCATTCGCAGCAGTAAATTCGGTTATCTTTCAAGAAGACACCGTATTCCTGGGTCACGGTGTTCTAGGTGACGCGTACGCGTACCCAGAGACTTAATATCTGTTTATTTTCTTTTACAAAAGTAAACATATTAGGATTTTCCTGTATATCTAGAACTCATAATGGTTTTGATTACCTTATTTAACTCCTACCAAAGAAAAGTGGTCATTGTGCTGATGCCCCTGCCTCGGCTTTCATTCTTTTTATAGTTGTCATTTCTCTCCTTTAGACATGTTCTCAGCTTCACTTTCTGGGTACATCTGTAATGTGCCTGCACTCCAAGGATATAATACTTAGCTCACCTGTACTCCAGAAGTAAGGAATTCCCTTAAATGGCTAAAAAAGTCTAAAGTACCTTCATCAACAAGCCAGGAGTGATGGTACACTGAGGACAGACCCCCAAATAACTGCTATACACACATATTTTTATATGAATCATACATCTATTTGCCAACAATTCCACAATGCGTTATTAAATACTATTGGGAGCAACACTATGTCACAAGGGGAAAAAAGGTTTCAGAAGACTCTCATTATTGGAATCCATGATCATTCAACAACTTGCTTTATATCCACCATCAAAAAGAAAGTATTAAGAGGCTTTACAGAAAAATATGCTTATTGTCATGTCTGAAGGATATTCGAGAGGTATGTGGAAATAACTGTAATTTACTTAGGACCTGGAAGTATGAAATAACAAGCTTCTGAGCCATCAAAATTGTTTTGGTAATTTTTTATCTGACACGAGAGCAGACCTTGTCTAGCTTTAAGTTTTATAGTAATAAGACCTTGGAAATAAAACCTTGAATAAACTGAATATAAAGAAAGGGGAAATGTGTCCTTGTGTAAATAGATATTGTGTCTATCACCTTCCTCTGAAAAGGTTACACAACTTTCAAAGCCCATAAAAGGTGTAAAGTCAGTAACTGCCAGGGTACATTGGAATGTTTTGTAAAAAATAAACATGAAGTAGAAAAACTATAACAAGTTTCTCTGATTGTTTTACAGTTGCCCCACCACTAGACCTTGTCTGTAAATGTACATTTCTCTAAGATATAGACACTAACTGAAATATACTTTAGCTCTCATAGTCCAACAACCTGCCTCCTCCCAAAATCCTTAACATGAACCCGTAACTTCTGAAGTAGACACAACTTGTCTCTTAAAGAAATATTTTTCCTGCAAAAGACTTTCCATGTCTCCATGAAAAAAAGAGACTGTAGTTCTAGCCTATCTGTAAAAGTAATTGCTTTCAAATATTTGACAGTCCAACAGACCTACTTGGTGACTTTCTTGGTTTCTGCAGTTTCCTGAT